TTGGATAATGCGACAGACAACGGCAACCAACGAGGGAACAGGCATAAAATGGACTGACACAAAAGACTTGGAGGATCTGGATTTCGCCGATGATATATGTCTGATTTCCCATAAACTGGAAGATATGCAAATGAAAAGTAACAAGTTGGCAGAAGAAGCATCAAAGATAGGACTTCACGTGAACATAGATAAAACAGAGATGATGAAGATTCCTTGCCAACATCAACAGCAACAACAGACCACAATAAGCATAAATGGGAAGAACCTGAAAGAAACAACCTCCTTCACCTACCTGGGAAGCATCGTCTCAACTACAGGCGGAACTGACGAGGACATCAAAGCCAGAATCGGAAAAGCAAGACAAGCTTTCATTACTCTCAAATCTGTGTGGAGGTCAACAGCAATCAGCATCAAAAATAAGATCCGGATTTTCAACTCCAATGTGAAGTCAGTGCTACTATACGGATCAGAGACTTGGCGAGTCATAAAGAGCATCTCAAACAAACTTCAAACCTTCATTAACAACTGTCTCCGCTCAATACTCAAGATCAGATGGCCAGAAAAGATCAGCAACAGGGATCTCTGGGAGCGAACCAATCAGGAACCGATTGTGAAACAAATAGGCAGAAAGAAATGGAGATGGATTGGCCATACGCTGAGGAAACCATCAAGTGACATCACTAGACAAGCCCTCGAGTGGAACCCGAAAGGGAGGCGGCGAGTTGGTCGTCCAAGGGTGACTTGGAGGAGGTCATGTGAAGAGGAGATGAAAGCATGTGGGCAGACCTGGAGCAGGGTGAAAAAGTTGTCAGAAAACCGAAGTCAATGGAGGTGCGCAGCTGAAGCCCTATGTTCCTCTAGGAACTAAAGGATACAATAATAATAATAATATAATATATATATATATATATATATATATATATATATAATGCACACGATCACAGTAAGCTTTCTATCCAAATAAATTTAAGTGATTTTGTTTAAGTCTAATTGATTATACGGATTCACAGAATATCAAGTGATTTCATGATATGACTGTTGAATCAGCGACAATTCGTGGATTCGCTTCATTATCAGTGAATATTCATTACAAAGTGATTGCATTCTCAAATATAACGTGGTTTCTAGAGTCATATTTCATTTTCCATTGTACGCGATTAGCACCATATTATGACATATGCGGCTGAGTAATAAACGAAGTTGGAAGGCACTTACGTTAGGCTGTAATCTATAGACTCTGAAGTCGATTCTGTGATTTACAAGTTTGTTTCATTGACTAACCAATTATATTTTCTGACTGAAATTCGAAGTAGAAATAAACAAATTCACTACTACTTTAACAATCACCAGTCCAATCTTGCAAACATAACTTAGAATTTCTGTCAGGAATTACTGTTATGTTAGTCTGACTAGAATCATCGTTAGACTGTTAAAGAGAAATACTGGTCATGCTATTATTCAACATGTTGACAATTATCGACCGGTTGATGCTAAATATGGAGACTGTAATTGGACGTTCAATAAGGACTCTCACTCAAGTCTTCTTGTCTGATTAATTATTTTTGTGATTGAAAAAAATGTTGGGGCGTGGACTTACGACTTGATGATGGAATGCTGAGAGTGATGGTTGGCATTCGATTATCACCATGGAGACTGGTGAAAAGTGGCTTGTCTCAATATCCTCTCATCTCCTTATATTGTGTGAAGAATTAAATCGTCCGGTGCGAATGTTTGTCGACGATATTCAACTCTGGAGTGCTTAAGGCAGTGACAGTAACCGCCTTGCTTCCTAAGATCTAGATGGATTGGTTCAATGATGTTACCACTGATTCTTGTGAGTTATTAAAAGACGGTGTGTAGTTATACATGCTTCTCATAACAACATGCACAACCACTCAGCAAACGGCTATACTCTACTGATAGTTACCGATTCTGAGGATTAAGAGGTGGTTATAAACTATGAGTTAGGAAATTTAGCTAACTGTAGGTTGTCATCTGCAAAGGCTTTCAAGGTATTATGGACTCTTTATAAGGTCTTCAAAAGTCTCGAGGCACAAATTTTTCGGGGATTATCCCCCGCTTACATCAGAACTCATTCAGGATATGGGATTCAAGCAGTGAACCAAGGTCCCAAATATGAGACTTCTTCTGTTGGTCGGAATCATTTTTCATTTTCAAGTTCGACAAAGTATTGATATCAATTGGAGATTCATCGAAAACGCAGCAGAGAGTACTGGACACGCAACTGTTTCATCCTGACTCAGGACTCATTGACAGTACCCACCTACTGGGAGTCGAACCCAGTTTCTTACAGTTACAAAGCAAGAGTCGATGTTAATTGAACAACATTAATGTTGTTAGTAACACCAATTCATTCACTATTATTTGCATATAATAACTGCAGAACCTGATGATGAATTTATCGAAAGGAACACTCTTTGTTCAGTGACCATTATTCTGAAATATGATTTTTACAAATGTCTACTTCTCACTTCCCAATTATTTTAGAACTTTTCTGTCAAATCTTGACCACAGTTCCTAAGAATATTTTGTTATGTTATCGCTATTATCAAAGAGTCTTCATTTTGTCACCACTGCTGTTAACAAAATTATTTTCACTATCATTACACCAAGTAATTACACAATTAACGGTCACAGTCTTAAATTACTAAGACTGGCTTATGCTCAAAATTAATTTGTAAAACTCTGTTTATTAAAGTCAGATTAGCTGTAACTGAAAACAGTATTATTCGCTTACATTGGATTAAACAAACTTGCATAGGTAATATCCTTGACTATCAGAATTTGTCACAAACTCTTATACTATCGTCATACAGTGGAAACAACTCAACTGTCTTTTCTGAAAACCTCTATGCATAGTGACGTCAATTATCATTTTTCATTTATCATACACGGAATACACACAGAAGTAGTCAAGTTTTGGTTAGCAGGGATTTCACTGGTTTCAGGATTTAATCATGAGTTGACATCGGGTAAAGAACTAGTGAGAAGCCTGTGAGTACTGGACGGCCGTTTCGTCGTAGTCTTGGACGATTCATTAGTAGTACACACCCACCGGTGTTTCAGCCAGGGACCATCGGACACTCGACAATCTCATCGGTGGGCATTTGTCGTCTCAACCGACCTTCATAAATTAGCAGAATTTAGAATCCATGAACTGGCCAATGGATTATGTCCGAGTGACTTGACTGTCTACGAGCTCCGTATGTAATCCGAAGGTCATGGGTTAGAACCCAGGTGGGTGCGTACTATGAAGAGTCGCAAACTAGGATGGAACGGCTGTTCAGTACTCCCTGCAGGTTTTCCAATGGTTTTCTGACCGATGTCAGCCTATGATGAAATCCTGAAACAGAGAAGTAGTTTAAGTCTACTTTAACAAATGTACGAAATGTATACATGAGTGTAATTTCAGTGAAGAACATTGTTTTGAGTAATAACGGATTCCAGTCATCGCTTGAATGTTTTTATAACTGCATAATCATTCACTTAGGTTCGCTACAAAAGATGCTTTGAATTTATCTTAGAGTTAGGTATATTAAAAGCTCTTAATAACAATATTTTTGTGTTAAGAATAGTTACCCTAACGAGAATTAAGAACATAAATTTCTGTAGTAAACATTTATTAAAGTATTAATTATGACTTGTCAAGTGAACAAGGTTCTGAATTCGAAGAAAATTTGTGGTTTGTTTAGTTCTTGAAGCAACATACACGTTTCAGCGAGTTAATATTCCATTCAGGGAATTGTCACTGTGGTATTACATTATTAGTCTCGATCGTTCCACTGACGTTTTCGGTATGTTGTATACATGTACATATATGACATAGGATATTTGGTTAAAAATTCTTCTGAGTTGACCATTTCCCAAGTCTCTGTATCAGAAGGTGTAATAACATATGTTGGACTCACAGGAGGTCGTACATATGGCCATTCATGCTCAAGGTTTTTACTTTAAATTAAGAAAAGAAGGTATACAAAAGATGTGGATTTTAGAAAAAATGAGGGAAATTTTGATATATTTCATGAAGTGAACAATTAATTGGAAATGTCAACTCACCCTGTACCGTAGTTGCATACAACAATATATCCCGCCTTTCCGCAATCATTAACGCCACAGCCTATACTCTTCGTCTTTTGTGATGCGATCTAAAAGAGATTAGCGAAATTTTAGTTACTACTGGTCTTGGTAACATTGAGAGGATTCTATCAAAAGACTGAATAGCTCATTAGGTGAAATATAATGTGGGAGATGGTGAGGAAGAACCAAATAATGTTACTGTATTAGCCTGAAAACAAATAACTCGAGGAAAGGCAAAAATTTTACTGCTTCTACAAAATGAATGCCTTAGTCCAGTCTCTTCTTAAAGCTTGTCTATCAGGGTAAGGCGTTCTGTCACAAAATGTAGGAATTTGCAGCATAAAATAACTTTAGATTAACCGTAGCTTCATAAATACCATGGTGTTGGATGTTGAAATTCATTCCGTAGGATTCCGACAAATTTGAGTTAGGGATTATTACTCATGTTCTACATAGGACTAACTCTAGTCGCCCATCCCCCCCACATACATCTCATGTCCACATATTCATCTATGGAAAGCGCAACAAACCGAATACAGGAAATAACAGTCGAGTCAACTTAATTTCAATCAACTCTACCAGGTATTCAAAATGCATCAATGACATAAAATTTACATTTTTGTTAACCTTCCAGCTAACACGATTTTCATGCATATTTTCAAATCTAGAGATCACGCCATGACTTTCAATGTATCTAACTTACAATACTCTACTTAGATACACAGTGTAGTTGTGAGTATTTATTTCACCGACACACAATCCCGACATCAGTGAGAACTGATTCAACATTGAAGACATCATTTGAAACTTGACCAAACTGGTTTCACACTCAAAATCAAAAATGTATCTCTTACTACAGTCAAACAGTAAGTAAACCCACAAAAGTGATAAACACGAATCCATTAATAAAAATAAGTGTGACTCAAAAATCCAATAATCAAGATTTTGGATAATTTCACCTTGAGGTAGTGCTGGCATCTTCCTCCTTCGGAACAATTTTTTGTCGCATAATCATAGAACATGTGTCGATTCCACCAATCATCTACAGCTCTAAAGAATCAAGACAAGTGATTAGCTGTACAATTAAATTCACTTACTCTTCCACTCTTCCGACTTCGGCAATATTTTGTCTAATAAATTGGTTTGGCCTCTGCGGAATTTCACTAGTATCATAACAGAGAGTACATTTCTTGGCGAGTTGTTCAGCATAGTGTGCAAGATCAGGATCCCATCTCTGAAAAGTATTGGAGGATATGATGAGTAAATAGCGTCTAAATATTAATCGCTTAGCTACAAGATAGTGTGTCGTGGCACAGGGGTAGAATGCTCGCCAACCAAGCACGTGGTCCGAGGTTCGATTCCTGCTCAACTCACCCCTCCACTTCGAAAAGTGAGTAATAAGACTGGTAAAGAGGGAAGGTTAGGCACGAGGCTAGCAACCCCATCTCTTGAAGAAGAGAAAAACACCGCTGCCAACAAAACTTCAAGCCTGTAACTTGAAGCCCCATGTTCCACCTGAAACATGAACGAATGAAAAAACGACTACAAGAAAAGACTGTTATTCATTTTTATGCAGATGGTCGAATGAAACAATGCATAAACAATATTTAAAGCTGCTGAAACCACCGTCAATTGTAAATGCTATTCGAAGCCAGATTTAAATTGAGGAACAAGTGAGCTGGATCTATTATCACAAAAAATAAAGAGATCTAGTACGGAAGTAACTGCATATCTAATATTTACATGCAAAAAAAATTGAGAATCAGTCAACTTACTAAATTACGAAGAGGAACAGTACTATTCGGTTGACCTTTAACTTGACCTTTGCTCAGCAATTGTCTAAAGAAATTGTGACGTTCTAACAAAGTTTGCTGATCTGGGGTCAAATCGGACTCCTTCCCTGTTCCTAGTTGCACGAGAAGCACCAAGATGACTAAAGTGTTCATGCTCATCATGATCATGTCTGACTAGAAGAGATAGAATCACACCTATTTATACATATTTGAATACATGCACATGTATAGATTTATCTTATCTTTGTCTCCATATGACCTATCACATCAAATGTACTCTATTACCAAAATAAGATAAGTAGTGAGACAAGCGGACTCACAATTTTTGGTAGTAGTTCACCATGTTATGACTGCGTGATGGCAATAACAAATAATGTAAACAAGATTTAGATAATAATACTTCAAAATTAGTTAATTTCTCTGATAATCCTGATCAGAAATAGGGCTTTCATTAGGTCAGAAACAAAACTTTATAATAGTGACTGTCACTAGTAATGGCTAGGAGATAAATTAGTTTCACGAATGTTCATTCATTGTATTTCCCATGATTCCTGTAGATAGATAGATAGATAGATAGATAGATAGATAGATAGATAGATAGATAGATAGATAGATAGATAGATAGATAGATAGATAGATAGATAGATAGATAGATAGATAGATAGATAGATAGATAGGTAGGTAGATAGATAGATAGATAGATAGATAGGTAGATAGATAGATAGATAGATAGATAGATAGATAGATAGATAGATAGATAGATAGATAGATAGATAGATAGATAGATAGATAGATAGATAGATAGATAGATAGATAGATAGATAGATAGATAGATAGATAGATAGGTAGATAGATAGATAGATAGATAGATAGATAGATAGATAGATAGGTAGATAGATAGATAGATAGATAGATAGATAGATAGATAGATAGATAGATAGATAGATAGATAGATAGATAGATAGATAGATAGATAGATAGATAGATAGATAGGTAGATAGATAGATAGATAGATAGATAGATAGATAGATAGATAGATAGATAGATAGATAGATAGATAGATAGATAGATAGATAGATAGATAGATAGATAGATAGATAGATAGATAGATAGATAGATAGATAGATAGATAGATAGATAGATAGATAGATAGATAGATAGATAGATAGATAGATAGATAGATAGATAGATAGATAGATAGATAGATAGATAGATAGATAGATAGATAGATAGATAGATAGATAGATAGATAGATAGATAGATAGATAGATAGATAGATAGATAGATAGATAGATAGATAGATAGATAGATAGATAGATAGATAGATAGATAGATAGATAGATAGATAGATAGATAGATAGATAGATAGATAGATAGATAGATAGATAGATAGATAGATAGATAGATAGATAGATAGATAGATAGATAGATAGATAGATAGATTGAAGTGTCTCTCTCACGATTTCTCCGTGAAACCTGAAGCTAATCCGGATTTCTTACAAATGGCGTGTCAGCAACATGTACATTATGCAACAACTCATTTCTTTGCAATTCTTTATCAATCCTTCCTACGCTTCGAAGTACATACTAACTCACTAATATTGGATAGATGATGGCATACGGTTTCAATATTTACGCCTGTAGTATTACAATAACAACATATACCTACATGAAGACTCCCGTTGCTACTTATGTGTGCTAACAAAGTTTTGGCATGTTGGATATGATGTAAGTATCCTATGAGAAGTTCAATGACTGGATAGATCTGCCACTGTCTGCATTGAAGAGTTGAGAGCAGTCGTACAGATGAATGCCATATCTATTTATAGAGTCTAGGCTGTACATTCGTGTATTTATATCAAATGGATGGGAAAGTTCCAGAATATTTTAATAATAATAATTTGATATAAATACACGAATGTACAGCTTAGATGATGACTTCGTCGTAAAGAAAATTTTCTTCGCTGCAACTGTCTTCTTATTTACTCCTATGACCCAATGTGTATATTCCGTGATTTATAGAGTCATATCTTCTGTCACTGTAAAGTCGTACATATCATATTAGCATATGTCATCTCTCTGCATGTAGGAAATTTATGAGGTCCTGACTTGGCATATTATTATGATTGCTCCCTTGGTTTCCTAGTGGAACATAGGGCTTCAACTTCACGTCTCCATTTGCTTCTGTATTCCCTCTGCTGTACTTTTCACCTCCATCCATTTCAGTCCATATTCTTTCAACTCCTCTTCACACGATCTCCTCCATGTCACCCTTGGACGTCCCACACACCGCTTCCCTTTCAGGTTCCACTCGAGCAATGGCTTGACGCGCGATGTCACCCAGTGGTCTCCTCAGCGAGTGTCCGATCCATCTCCATTTTCTCCTGCATATTTGTTGGGCGATTGGTTCTTGCTTTGTTTGTTCCCATAATTCGTTGTTGGTGGTTCTTTCCGGCCATCTGATCTTCAGTATGGAGCGAAGACAGTTGTTGATAAATGTCCGCAACCTTTTGGAAATATTCTTTGTGACCCGCCAAGTTTCTGATCCGTGTAGAAGAACTGACTGACTTGACGTTTGTATTGAAAATCCGACCGAATTTTGTTGTTGATGCTGAGTGACGAAGATTTTCAGATTGGTTTCAGATTGATGAATGTGCTTCTCGCCTTCCTGATTCTTGCTCGATTTGACATCCTTGTCCGTTCCAACTGCCTGTAGTTGAGACAATGCTCCCTAGATAAGTGAAGTGAATGAAGTGACCTCTTTCAAATCCCTCCCGTTGATAGTGATTGGCGTTGGATGTTGTTGCTGTTGTTGGTTGGTTACTTTCATAACCTCCGTCTTGTCTATGTTCACTTGGAGTCCTGTCTTCGCCGGCTGCTTCTTCGACCAGTTTGTCGGTTTTCGCTTGTAAGTCTTCGATTTTGTGTGACATCAAACATAAATCATCCACGCGGGAAATCCAGGTCTTCTAGATTCTTCACGTCGGTTCAGGATATTCCTGTCTTCTCGTTTCCCACTCACTGTCTGACGCATAATCCAGTCAGTCCACCACAATTGGGAATATCATAAGTGATAATAAGCCAGCACCCTTGTCTGACTCCTGTGTTTACTCCAAACGCCTCACTGAGTTTTCCGTTGTGGATGACTTGACATGTGCCGTTGTCGTACAGCTGTTGAATAAGGTTAATGAATGTTTGGGGTGCGCCATAGTACTCGAGTAATTTCCAAATTACTTCAAGGTCAACGCTAACTGTCGAAGGCCTTCTCAAAGTCTATAAAGTTGAGGTAGTTGAGGTTTGATCGCCATTCCATGCTTTGTTCTGTGATGATGCGTAGAGTTGCAATTTGGTCAGAACATGATTTGCCTTTCCTGAATCCAGCTTGTTCTGGTCGGAGTTCTGTCTCCAGTGCGTCCTTTAATCTCTCCAGGATGATGCTACTCAGGATTTTACTTGTCGTCGATAGGAGCATGATTCCTCGCCAGTTCTTGCAGAGTCCGAAGTCGCCCTTCTTTGGCAGTTTCACGAGGTAACCTTTCCTCCAGTCAGTAGGCACCGATCCCTCCTCCCAGACCTTTTGCAATAATGCAGTCAGCATGTCTGCTGTAGTCTCTGGGTCTGCTTTCATTGCTTCAGTGTGTATTCATCTAGTCCAGCTGCTTTTTCAGCTTTCAGAAACTTGATTGCATTCAAGACTTCAGCTCTCGTTGGAGGATTGGTGTCAACTTGCAGTTGTGTGCGCGCTGTTGTTGGTATTTCTGGACGGGTTGCAGGTGATGGTCGGTTCAAGAGTCCTTTGAAGTGATCCGGCTTTTAGTTTCACCTTGAAAGTCCCTTCTACTAGATAGTGGTCTGAACCCACATCTGCTCCTCTCCTCGACCTTGTGTCCAGTAGGCTGCGTCTCCACTTTCTTGAAATTGAGATGAAGTCTATTTGATTCTTGGTGTTTCCATCTGGTGAAATCCATGTCGTCTTGTGTATATCCTTATATTTGAACACACTACCACCAATCACCAAATCATTGAAGGCGCAGAAGTCTGAGAAGAGTTCACCATTATCGTTCATTTCGCCGAGGGCCTCACGACCCATGGTGAGTTCTCTTCCTGTGTTGTCTCCTCCCAGCTTCCCATTCATGTCGCTCATCAGGATTTTGATATCGCCATTTGGGACGTTGTCCATTATTGCTTGTAGTTGTCTGTAGAACGCCTCCTTCTTCTCTTGTTCTGAGACGTTTGTAGGCGCATAGCATTGAATGACTGTAAATTTCCTTCCTTTTGAGTTGAAGCTGGCTGTCATTATCCTGGAGGAGATTGGTTCCCACTGCATGAGAGCTTTGGTTGCTGTTGGTGACATCATGATGGCCACTCCCTCGGTGTGCTCATGGTTGTCCTCTGGGTGGCCGGAAAAGATTACTGTCTCTCCAGTAGGTAGTTGGTACCACCCAGTTCCGTCTGATCTGCTTTCGCAGATTCCCAACACTTCTATTCTGTACCTTCTCATTTCAGCGGCTATCTGGGCAGCCTTTCCAGTTTTGTACATTTTACGAACATTCCAGGTACCCATTCTTACTTTTGCTTTCATCGAAAGAAGGCACATCGGCTGACTGGCTTCCCGAAGGCTTTCACCAGCCTGCGTCATTTCACTTTCCCGATTCCAGCGAAACGTAAGGCTATTGCTTATGTTTTTAGAATTTTTAATATATTTATTCGTTGAAGTTTCTGTAGCGATTTGGTTGTTTTACAGGGTGGAGTTGCTAGCACCACGCTCCAACCCTCCCTCTTTACCCGCGCTTGGGACCGGCGGGAAAACTGGTAAGCTAGTAGCCTAGCAAGCTAGTATCTGGCGAGGTTTGGCGTAATATAATATGTTACAATTTCCTTGGGTGGAACATGGGGCTTCCTCAGGACATCTTCACTTCACTCTGCTCACTGTAGTCATTTGTAGCAGGCTCTACCACTGCCCAAAATCTTTTAAATCCTCCTCACGCAATCTTCTCCATGTCACCTTTGGATCTGTCCCACACAGTGAGTTGTTTCCTGTTTGCGTCCCACTCGTGTGTTATCTCCTCGAAGTATGTCCAGTGCACTTCCACTTGCTTTTACATAAAATGTTCTTGGTTGCTTCGTTGCCAGAGTCTTTTCGTGATTGTCTT